TTCTATTGCTGCTGCTGTTAGTAGTACTAGTTGAAGTAACATTTAGTGGTTAGATTCAACTCAATTGGAGAGCATCATACATAGCCTCTTTTACACTCAAGGCAGATAGGCAGAACCAGTGATGAAATCCAAATTTTTTTACTACCAGTTCTGTGGATGTGGCTTGGTGGGTGTGGTGTGGCTTGGTGGGCATGGCTTGGTGGGCGTGGCAGGGGAAGGATACTGCAAAATCCCCATTCCCTCCCCATTCCTGGGGGAAAGATATTGCAAAATCTCCATTCCCAATCCATTCTGGGGCCAGCCAGAGGTGGTATTTGCCGGTTCTCCGAACTACTCAAAATTTCCACTGTCGGTTGTCCAGAACCTGCTGGATTTCACTCCTGGGCAGGACTCTGGGAGATAAGATGGAAATGGAGAAATGGCTTAAAAAGTTCCAAAGACACACTGGGTTCACACTCACCCCAAAAGACTTGGCGCTTCCTCAATGCTGAGGTTAACTAATAAGTCAGTAGCAACTTATGGCACCTTTCAGAATCATCCAATCATTGCTGGAGACTTCCAGTGTGGTCATGGTGAGCTTGTCTGAGCAGGAAGGCACTGGTACTTTTGACATGTATCAGGTTTTCCAGAAGTATAGTGGACTACTGGCATATGTCAGAAAATGCTCATGGACACATGTAGATCAGGTACTCTGACCCTGATCCTTATGGGAGAAATAAACTTGTGACGGATGCTTTCCCAACTTCTTTCTTCTTTCATTTTTCTGCAGTGTCAGAGAACTGGTGGCCAAAAAGCTGTGCCTCCATGCTCACACTCACACCCACATTTCTCTTGCCTTTTCTCCAAGCCCCCATAGTGTGCTATAAGGTTTCGCAGATGTAGAAGTAAAAGGGGGAGAGACAATTCTTGGATATGGGAAAAAGCCAATTTGAAAAGACCCAGACTTTTCTACTGCCAAAAGTAGAATTATGTTGTAAAGGATTGGCCAAGAGAGGTATGAGAGAAGAGGACACCTGGCTGAAGCAGTTTTGACTGGCCATTAGTAGCTAAGCAGAATCCAGGCTCTGACTGTATCATCACTAGTCTCATCATGAAAATCTCATACATTGTTCATACAGCACTGGAAGTATTTTCTCCCGAGTATATTGAACTAGTCGGACTGATTCCAATCAGATCTTCAGGTAACCGATTGACAAGCCATGGAGGGGTTTACAGGTTAACACCAGCCTGCTGAATTGCAATCTGGAAGCCTACTGGTAACCAGTGGAAAGCTTGCAGTATTTGGATCACATTGCAACAGGTGATGATGAGGGCATGAGTCACTGAAGCAAGATCCTCCTATCTACTAGGAAGGCCAAAACTGGCAAATCTGTTGTGACCTAGGCTTACTTAATCATTGCAAGACACAATTAGTCCCCAACAAACCTATTTTATTGTAACATCTGAGAATTACTTCATTCCCAGCTTAGTCCAAATTAACTGCAAAACAAGTCTTTCAGAATAAGTCCTTCGGGCTTATCACAAATCTTTATCTTCTTTGGCAACCTGCGAAAGGTCTTTCTTGGCAAAGCCCCATGAAGTTCGAAACAAGAGATGCCGATTGGAAACAAATTTAGCAACGTTGCTTTCCTACAAAGAGCCCAAGAGCCTTTGCTGCTCTTTTAAGCCTTATGGGAGGAGCCAATCATCTCCTGGCCTTACTCCCCAGTCCTCCTTTTTGCTTTAGCTGCTCTTGCCTTCTGGCAGTTCTGCACATGGGTGCACTAGGAACAGGCTCCTCCTGTTCCTCTGCCTCTCTGCTGTCTGATTATGGAGGCTCTGGAGTCCCCACATCACTCCTAGATGGCCCTGGCCCCATCTCTGCCTCCGACGCAGAGCCCTCGTCCGGGCCTTCCCCAGACTCCAGGGCTGGCCCATGTTCCTCCCCAGCCTCCTCACTGTCTAACTCTGCTGCTAACTCTGTGGGCTGCTGGCGGACCACAACACTACCAGCCAATGCTGCCACCTTCATCTGCTCTTCTGTAGGAGTCCAGAAGGAGACTCCAAGTGATATGTACTATCTTCAGAGTAGTACACTGTAAGTACCAGTGAAAAAGATGACCTCAGTGTCCAACTGTAATGTTTTCCTCCTTGGATTTAATTCAACTGTATCCCTACCAACAGGACCCTCACAACTTCCAGGTCCTGAGACAGGCTTTGGCAGCATTAAGTAGCTTTTGGAGAGTCTGTCATTGCTTCGAACAGTCACCAAGTGACTGGTCACAAGTCTAGGACTACTTGTATTCTCTGAAAGAAGTTGAAGTGTAAAACAGTTCAACGCCTTTCCATTTTTATCAAAGAGAAGCTGTATATCATCACTGAAATAATATCAAACATGACCAGATCAGATCATTGAAATAATTCTCTTCCATAACATACTTGATGGTTGCTGAAGACTTTATACACCACTCAGAATCCAATAGTGAAAGATGTTTTGCAGCTTATTTCAGCAGAGACCAACATTCTCCCTACTAACACAATTATGTGGAGATATTCAACTTTATGTTTTCCTTTCTTTCTACTATATATTAGCATCTTACTTGAGCCAGCAGAGGTCAGGATTTATTGAACAAAAATAAAGCATAACATGGAAAACCAAAAAGGAGGCTATAAAAGAAGTGTGTTTCATTTAGAAAAGTGAAATCCTGTGCTGGAATGATGTTGAATAATTATTCAATAACTGTACAATGTGTGCTGCTTAGCATCCTTATCTGATACATAGAAGCATATTATATTGATATTTTATATTCAGCTATAAGGTAAAGGTAAAGGTTCCCCTCACACATATGTGCTAGTCATTACTGACTCTAGGGGCGGTGCTCATCTCCATTTCAAAGCCGAAGAGCCAGCGCTGTCTGAAGACATGTCTGTGGTCATGTTGCCGGCATGGCTAAATGTCAAAGGCACACGGAACGCTGTTACCTTCCCACCAAAGATGGTCCCTATTTTTCTACTTGCATTTTTTACGTGCTTTCAAACTGCTAGGTTGGCAGAAGCTGGGACAAGTAATGGGAGCTCACCCCATTATGCAGTAGTAGGGATTTGAACCGTTGAACTGCCGACATTTCAATCGACAAGCTCAGCATCTTAGCCACTGAGCCACCGCGTTCCTTCTATATTCAGCTATACTTGCTACTGAAAATCAGTTTGGTATAGTGGTCTGATAGCTGTGTTATTAACCATCTTCACATCTTGAAATATTCAGTTATTTAGTTATAGGAAAATTAAAATAGGGGTAGAAACCTTTATGGCTGAGGCAAAGATTAGACTGTTAAGAACACATAATGATGGTCATTCCAAGCATAGCTCTTCCAAAGGTAGCTATTTACTATGAAACATATGGCTCCCTTCCTCAAACTGGTAAGATTTGATGGGTCCTAAAGATCTGCTAAGAGCCAGTTTGCTATACTGTTTAACACATCAGACTAAGAACTGGCGTAGGAGAAAGAATAGCAGAAACTGGGGGTGGAGTCAAAAAAGGAATCAGCCTAGAATTGCTACATAGCTACAAACAGACTAAGTCCAACCCAGTTTCAATTCTGCTAATCCTTATCTAGCACCGAAATAGGGCTAACAGTTAATTGAGTAGATACCTGTGCATAGGCATGAGTAGTAATAAATCAGTTTAATTGGAACTGCCATCCTTTGCAATCCTGGTCCTTTGTGACTGACACTGGAAGACCGAGAGTTCCAGTCCTGTCTTAGGCACAAAGCCAGTCAGAGTTTTGTATGGTCTTGGATATCATTGTGACTTATTTGATAACATTCTGTAGATGCCCTGATGCCAGCCTTCTTGCTGTTGTTGCCTACTGGTGGTTTTTAAAAGAACAAGTGTTTTTAAAAATATTGCATAAATTTTCTACTAATTTTATTATAGAGACTTCCTCTAATGAAAACATATTTACTTTTCAGGTTGCAGTGCAGCAAAAATGGTCCATCGGTAGAAGAAATGTCAACATATTCCAGAAATGTTGGTTTCTCTGTGATTTACTATTTATTTATTTATTTATTTATTTATTTATTTATTTATTTATTTATATTTATATGCCGCCCTTCTCCCAAAGGTCTCAGGGCGGCAAACACAAGTTAAAAAACATACAATAATAAAGGAAAATCCTAATTAAAACCCAATTAAAAACAGGGACAAATAAATAATAAAACCCAAGAATCAGAATCAGCCCATTTGTTGAAACAGCCAAGTCTTTAGGCCTCGAAGGAAGGAGCAGAGATCAGGGGTCATCCGGAGTTCGGTGGGTAACTCATTCCAGAGGGCAGGAGTACCCACAGAGAACGCTCTACCCCTGGAAGTCGCCAGCCAACATTGTCTGGTCAATGGTACCCTGAGGAGGGCAGCCCTGTGTGAGCAGACAGGATGGTGGGAGGTGGGTAGGAGCTGGTCCTGCAAATACCCCGGACCTAAGCCATATAGGGCTTTATAGGTAAGTACCAGCACCTTGAAGCGGATCTGGAGGACCACTGGTAACCAGTGCAGCTCGTGTAGGAGAGGTGTTACGCGGGAGTAACGGGGAGCTCCCGTAACAATCCGCGTGGCCGCATTTCATTGTTATGTGTATTTTGTTCTTCAAAAATTAGTAGAATTCCAGGAAAAAAATTCCTTGCATTCAGTAGGAAAGAGCTAGTACAGTAAAAAACTAAAAATGCCCCTCTCTTAGATTGCCAATTGATAACACCGCAATATTATATGAAAAGTTGCAAATTCTTGTTTCAAACATTTCCTTTCCTTCTGGAAAGTACAGGGGGAAAATGGGCTTTTTTTCTTTCCAGAAGAACTTTTCTCACTAACTACCATTATCCCAATCACTCCCTTTTGGACAGTCACTTTCTTAATCAAAACCAGATACTTCCTTATGTCCTGGGAAAGAAATCATACTTGGTTAAGCTTTTCCCAAGCTCCTGAGGTTTGAGCCATGGACCATATCCATGAAAGATTTACACTCCTGTTTATCATTTCCTATAATTACCCTTATTTTTCAAACTATTTTCTGAACAGTAGAATGTTCACCTTTGCTGAAAAGTTCATATTCAAACCACATATCTTGAACACTAAGTATGTTACTCTGGCAGCTCTTTTGTTTCTGATGTTTACTTCTGAAAAACAAAACAAAACATTTTTTTCCACCCGGATCATTCTTTTTTTGTCTCCACATTTCACAAAATATTTAACCATTTAAGCAGGAAATGTGGGTCTAATCCCATCTCAAGTAGAAATGTCCACTAAGAATTCTTTTCATATTACTGTATTGCACAACAGGTTTTAAATTTCTGACTCAATTTTATTACTGCAGATAATCCCCTGGGCTGGGGGTTGCATGCAAAGCGTTTATTTTGTATAGCCTCTAGAATTTCCCACAACCCCAAATCCCCAAGATCATGTCACTGAAAGGAGATACAGTATTAAAAAGAAAAACAAGAGAGCTGATCACATCTCTTTGAAGAGCATTCACTCTACAAGTTTCAACAATCTCACGCATTTAAAATTGAAGCCTCCATTAAAAAGAAAAATGTGGATTATTGGCATGGAAAAAGGGAGAACAAGAGAAGCGACCAGAAGCAAGAAATTGCCATGGGCAACCTGAGATGCTTGCTTGGAGCTAACTCTCAATGGCCAACAGGGGTGTCTGAAGCACAGGTCAAATTAGTTAAGATGGCAGCTAAGACTGCATAACCTGCCTACCCTTGTGCTTATCACTTCTGGGCTCACTTCTAGCCTCAGGAGAACAGGAAGAGGGGGAAATGACTCTTTGTGGTGTGTGTGGGTGAGGGGGGAGAGGCTTCCTGGATTCCAATACCTTGGTCAATCTGTCCAAATTGATGTCTCACCTGTTATCTGAAAAAGTTAGTCCTGTCCCATGGGGGTGGGGGGAGGTTCACTCCCCAGTCTTCCTGTCTCAGGTCGTGCTGGATTTCGCTTCCTTCAGCAACACAATATTGCAAGTCCACACCACACAAAACAATCTAAGAGAGCCCAACAACCTCCATTAGCTCATGCTTCTCACCTTTTATAGGTTTATAGCTAGAAGGCAGATTCTATTTTTAATCATCCATTTTTAATGGATACCAAGGATTCTTGGTATCCATTATGACACTGAACCTGATTTTGGTCCACAGGAGAAAAACCCCCCACAAACTTTTAACCACTGCAGACCACCAGGGCAATTCATCCTGTAACAAGGCAATGCAAGCATTTGGCACAAAAGAAGAGATTTTCCTCCTCTTGAGATCCAAGGATCATCTTTAAAAGATACTGGTAATTTGAAATATAAAGGCAATGACAAAGCATTACAAAACCTTTATAACATAAGTTTGCCTTTCTCATAAGTAGATGAATGGTGTACTGTTTTCCCAGCGGGCTGGGGGTTGCAGATAAAGTGTTTATTTGATGAAATCTGAATAAGCCCCCAATTTACGACTATTCCAACCTATCACAGCACAATATTCAGTGTTGGTAATATTAATAAATAAAATTTAATTTATATTAAATTTAACTGATATCAGGAAGATATTTTCCCATGAAACAAGCAGGAAAAACATTTCAAGAACTGGATAAGTAGCATTATTGTGTTTATGTTTTTGTTGTTACTGCTAGTAGTACGGCTGTAAGAGACATTATAATGTTATGTTTGTTATGATATGTTACCCGTTATGTTGTGATGTGATACAATGAAAAGCACCATGTATGTGGGTCTCTAAATATGTTTTGATAAAAGATAGGAGCTACCTTATCCATTTGATTTGAATTGCTTAAATATTTAGATACAGGAAGTTTTCAATTTATGACCACAATTGGAATCAGAATTGTGTTGCTAAGCAAAGCAGTTGTTAAGTGATTCACACCCAAATTTGTCTTTTTTGCCATTGTTGTCAAGTGAATCATTGCAGTTGTTAAACAAATCATACAGTTTTTAATCTGGATTTCCCCCATTGACTTTGCTTGTCAGAAACTGGCTGGGAAGGTTACAAATGGTGATCAAATGACTCTAGGATGCTGCAACTCTCATAAATACATGGCAAGCACCCAATTTTTGATCATGTGACCATGGGGATGCTGCAATGGCCGTAAGTGCAAGGACTGATTGTAAATCACTTTTCTCACTACTGTTGTAACATCAAACGGTCCAAACAAATAGTTGTAAGTGAAGGATTATATTCTTCACTTGTATTCTGGCTGAATAGATTTTGCAAGGGCCCAATTGGCACTCATTAAATAAATATTTGTTGCAATTTGACCTTGTTGAGATGCAAATGCTCAGCATGAATTGTTAACGGCAAATGTTTGACGGTTGTACTTTAACTTTTGCAGGACTCATTTAGGGTGAATATTTTGGCTCTCACCAGCATATGTGAGGTTGAGCTATCTTTGCCCTCAGTGTGAGGCTTCATAAAAGAATCCACCTTTTGTTTCTGAGTCAGAAGTTTGGAAACTTCCCAGGGAATTGGGGCAAGTGAAATGCTATAACTATTCATGAAGCTTCAGACAGCCTTTTTTAACTATGCTAATCATGATTATTTTGATTTATATTGCTCTATTTTTCTGTGCATGCTTTGTGTGCAGTTGCTTCCTTATATCTTAAATGTAAATGAAGAATCTCAAACAAAAGCCTACAGTAATTTGTGACATTCATGTTCCAGTTTTCTGAATGGATCTTGATTAAGCTACTAAGCTTAGCATATTGTCAGACTTAAAACAGGTTCACAGTGAAAACCCCTGTTGTTAACCTTACTGCTTTGAAGAGCTTCTTGTTCCTATCTACAAGTGGTAAGAAATGAAGTTTTGCTAAGGCTGCAGGTGAGGAAATAGAGGCTGATGCTTAACACCTTTGCCTGGAGCAGGAAAAACATATAAGCTGCAGCAATAAAAGAAAGGGTTCTGGCACATGTGAGAGGTATATATATCTAGTGCCAGTTTCTGGAACAGCTGTTATACAGATGAAAAAGGACCAGAAAAGCAAGGAAGCAAGAAACCTTATTCAAAAAAGAAGAATCTAAATAGTAAAAGACTATGCAATTGTTCAGTGGGATGACTTGATTTGATGAAGCTTCATTTCATCAACTTTACAAATTGAACTCCTGAAGCACTTTGATGAGTAGAATCCAATTGGATACCTACAACAATCTGATTTGGTTTTGGCAGAGTTTGTGAGAATGTTGCAGCTTGGCTTGCAAAGCTAAGTGGGGCTTGATTTAATTGGCTCTCTTAGATTTATTAGACTGTGCATGCTTCAAAAGTGCTTTTGAAGAAATGCTCAAGACCTCCCCTGAGTGTCAGGATAGTATCTCTCATATTCATTAAAGCACCTTTTTTTCCCCCATACGTCACTGTGGTCTCTCCTTAATCTCAATATTTTTTTTTCTTTTGTCCCTGAATAGTTTCCTAATGAAGAACAGCCAGTGGAGAAAAAGAAATTGGGGGTGCGGTGTGGAGGTTAGCTAATTATGGAAGGTATAGGTTAAAAAATTAAGTAACAATCATATGATATTTACAAGTTGATACAAATGGAGAGGCGAACATAGTAAGATGCTCACAGAATCAACATTTGAGAAAGTTTCAAATGGGATAATTTTCCCTTTATGATATGCATACATTTTTGGTCCTCCCTTCTAATGCCAGGTATATTTGATCTATTTGGCAGAAAAACAAACATCTTAAATTTTGCTGATACTGTGAATTGCCAGATGTATTTATAGGAACATGTTTAATAACTGAAAGAAGTTGCTCGAAGGCCCAGGGCAGAATCCTTCTAAAAGCCTTCTCCAATATCAAAGGAGCCCCCACACCCTTGCCCTTCCCTAATCAGAGCAGCAGCACTGTGAAGATATCAGGGAGTTATCACTGAAATTTCCAAAAGTGTCTTTGACAAGGTGCTTAAAGAACTAACTAGTATGCAGGTGAGCATCACAAGCTGCCAGATGTTCCCAGAACTCAGTTGCTTATACAGGTACTAAATCTGAGAATCCCATTTACCTAAAAAGAATCATTTCAAATGTTGAATGCCACCTTTGAAAATCACAAATGATTAAAACTGGATTATGCAACTTCTTTTAGACTCAGGAATGCATTTAAGCCATAAAAGGCAGGTTGGGAATGTCATGGAGCCAGAAAAGCAAAATTTGATTTGACTGACATTTACCTCAAAGCATGTTATAATTATATACTGATTCTTTCTGATATATTAAACATTGCAATTTGCAGGTAACTTTTAGAGGATCGGTGGGGACCACACTGAAAGCATTGAGTAGTCGCATGGACTTGTGCTCATCTGATTTACTTTGTATTATGCAAGTAGCTTCCTTTGCACTTTTCCAATAATTGAAGTGCATTCTCATAGTATTCATAGTATTGTGCCATTTTCACATAGGCTCCTACCTGGTCTTTAACTGGCAGCCTCGCTTAGAAAGAAGGGGCTTCTCTAAATGCATCATATACCTGTAATTACGATTTTACCTGATCAACTTTGAGCACCATGAATGATCTACTCTGCTTCTTAGCATCTGGGGGAGGGGGTGTTAAAACTGATTTTGTGATCCTGCTTAGCTGGAATCTTCACTGAAACAAAGTGCTGATTTAAAGCTCTGCATTACTCTTTTTCTACATTAACCTGTCCCCTCTGTCCAACTCTCTGCCTGTCCCCTTTCTCCTTCTCTCCTTCACTTTGTATATAATATATGTATATTCTCTCAAAATGCTATTCAGAAGTTTATTCATACATTTAATCTTGTGAACATTTCGTGATAAAAATTCAGAAAAGTAAAAATAAAATTGTTGGATGTATGTCAATTCCTAAGCAGTCCAAATAATACCTGTTAGGACACTTTGTATAAGAATTTGAAAAGGTTGAATTCTTGACATGTACACTGAGACAGTTCAATTCAGTGTATTGTAGTGCATTCATCTGTATGGGATCTGACAGTAATAATCCCACTGACTGAAATATGGCATTTTTAAGAAAAAAATACATTGATCTTGAGCTGTAGCCAAAAAGTTAAACAAGTTAGTATTATATCACAAGTAAAAAACAGGAACATGAAATAGTTGAAATTGTTCAAAACATTGAGTTCATAACATTTTGAGCTTAAAAAGAAAAGAAAACATCAGTTACCCAATAATTTTGTTTCAACCTCAAAAAGATACTCTGATTTTGTTCCATTCTCAGAACATTTTTACCAGCCTCATTTTGCCAGACTGCTCCAAATGTTTTCATTATCCTTTGTTTTAGTGGAATGTGGTTCAGATGCTGTCTGAAAAGATTTTTCCACCCTCTCAGTATAGCACATGGGAAGCCTTATTTGGTCCTTTTTAAAATTCAAATTGAGAGAAGACATGCTTTGAAGAAGGTGGGACCAACTCATGTATTTCCTGTGGCAACTCTTTAAAGCAACTGTATCTTTTGCCATAATCACATGGCTGTCCTTCAGAGAAGAAGCTTCTTGGAAGAGAAGTGAAACACCTTAAAAAAATCAACAACCCCTTGAAAAAGCACCTTGGGGCAACCATGACCTGGATACTGAGAATTTCCATAGATACTCTGGGAAAGATGTGCTTGGTTTAGGGAGTGCTTTGTGTCCTCAAGAGTCAATACGAACTTGATGTCAAATAATCAACATAATCATTATGCACACTGCCACATGTTTCAAAAATATCCATCCCTTTGAATTTGAAGTGTGCCATATCCCAGCTGCTATTAGTTTAAACTGGACTGAGTGATCAGGATGTACATCAGGGGTATCAAACTCACGTCATCACGGTGGCGTCACATGACATATCAGGACTTTTCCCCCCCTTCGCTAAACCAGGCATGAGAGTGGCAGCGCATGACGCATCCGGCCCATGGGCTGGGAGTTTGATCTACAGTGTTGAGAATAAAACAAGAAAACAAGTTTGTGGCTTAAAGAATTGGTTTGATTTGCAAACAAATCAATTAATTTCACCATCCCATTTTATCAATGCTATACTTTATATATAGTATAGTATTCTGTTTTAGTAAATCTTTCCTTTTGCTACATTAGAAATTTAAATAGGATGGTGGCTTTGGGACCTCAACAGTAAAGTGAGGGTGGGTATCTTCAACCCTATTTCTTACTCCCAATGAAGAAAGGATAAAAGCAAGAAGTAGCAGAATCCAGAATAAATATGAAAGTTGCCAAGAAAAATAAATAAGCATCCACTCAGCAGATTTGTCTCTAGCCCTCATCCACCAGCAGAGCAGCAAAACATTTGCATCCTTTGATTCTTTAAATGACAACATTTGATCTTTTAAAAAGTAGCAGCAACCATGTTTACATTAAACATTACCTTTAACTCTGTTTTATATTAAATATATTTAGCACGACTATTCTCAATCACATTCATCATTTCCCCTTCTGACAGATTAAACATGGCAATCTTTAAAGAACAATTTTGAAAGAATGTTTGAAATTATGTAGACTTTTGAAAGTTTCTGAGAGATCCCTGCAAATTGGGGTTTTGGGTGTATGCAAAACATCAAATCTCCTTTGGGTCAGTTCTTTACTACTCATTATTTCATGGGCACCCACGTTGTCTATTGCACTTCTTGTGCAATAGACAACGTTTCTTAAACTTGGCATCTTTAAGAGGTACAAACTTCAATTCCCAGAATTCTCCAGCCAGCAAAGTTGTCAGGTGCGAGAAGCATTGCCTTCTTCTAAGATATTGTTTGCAACTTTCCAGGCAAGCCGACAGCCCTGGAACTCCCCAGTGATTTGAGTCCAATACAAACCAGGCAACCCTGCTTAGCTTCTCAGCTCAGACATAATTGGCCTGCAGGCTGCCACCCACTGAGACTCACATGAGGCACTTTAGTGCCCCAATAAAGGGGACAGAAGAGGGACTGTATTCCACCAATGTTCAAATAAGTTTTCGAAATGCTCTCAGGGGCAGGAACTCTTGAATACCCACTTATGTTTGTATATTGTTCCTAGATGGAATGGAACAATTATGATTGTTTATTTTCTTCTTCTGAAATCGTAGTTCCATGTCGCCAAATTGCTCCAGGGGAGAAAAAAAAGCTGCTTTCTGCTGTAAACTAAAGATACGACTGAGTCAAAATTAACTGTTATAATAATCTGGCCACCTTTGATTGAAAAAATTTGGGAGGGGGTGGAGAGAATTCAACAGTAGCATTACCATAACTGCATCAGCACAACCGTGCTCTGCTCCATTTATACTCAAGTGTTTTTAGAGACAGAGAGATTCTGGACGATCATTCTTCAAAGCACCATAATGACTCCAAACTGGGAGGATGTGGAAGATGACAGAATGCAAAGTGTCAGAACACACATGAGCTTCCATTGCCCTCAGAGTGGTGATTAGTAATGTGAAAGAGCCAGAATGTGGAAAAGTGTCCAAAGTTCCTATGAACAAAATTTATAGCTCACAGCTTCAGCATCCCTTGGTCTTTGCCAGCTGTTCTGCACCTGGAAGTGGAACAAAGAAATATCTTCCTCCCATTTATCTTCTTTGTACTTGTTGCTTAGGGGACTAAGATGGCAGGTGACAGGGAAATAGTAGCAGAATACTAAATATTCACATACAGAGCCCTAATTCCAAGTGGAAATGTTTCAGGAATAAGTAGCCAACCTTTGTGTCATCTAAAGTTTTAAAGCTTTTCTAATGGGTATCTCAGGTTCTTAGATGCTCTGCATAATCTTCAGTTTTGTTTACCTCAGAGAAAATTGCATTTTCCATGTCAAAAGGTTGTCAAAAGCAAGGAGTTCTTGCCTCTGGAATGGGACAACTTCCATGGCCAACTCACTACAGTCAACTTGCCATGGCCAACTCACCATGGGACAATTCAATAATTCAGTTTCATTATTTAAAATAATTTTAAAAATATTTTCATTTTTGTCATCCACATTTCATTTTGTCCCTCCTTTGACATCCTTTCTTTAATGATTCTATTCCACCATTTCTATGATATTAGTGTAATTCTTGTCTTATGACGAGCTGTCCTGTGGCATGTTGACCAGGTTGAGCTATCCTGCAACAAGAATGGCTGTGGCAAGTGGCTTAGTTGGCCACAGCAAGTTGGCTACAGCAAGTTGTCTTGCCTCTTCCTTCTTGTAAAGTGAGGTAATTGAGTAATTAGAAGATCTAGCTCTTTGTAGGGAAAAGACTAGGGGAGGTCGTGACCTTTATAGCAACCAGCCCTACCCTCTAACCTTCAAATGTGGTAGAGCAGAATTCCCACATTTCACAACCAGTATAGCCAAGCTGCCTCTGCACTCTATATTTTAATTGTTGCAGTATATTTTGGGAGACATATTCCAAACAGAAATTCTTGGCTTCACTTTTATGATTTTGTTCTTCAGAGAATGGAAGAAGCCCAAAAGGATTGGTTATCCCTAATTTGTTACCTATCGGTAAGGAAAAGTAGGTCAATGGAGCAGAAATACCAGGCACAGTGGGAAATTATAATATAACCAGAGCAATTATTAGCCTGGCCAACCATAATCAAACAATTCAATTCACTCATAATCAAGCAATTCTTGACTGTTATAGAAGTTAAAACTGAATATAGTTGAATTTTTGACTTTATAAAAGTGGATGTAATATAACCGGAGCAATGATTAGGATGGTCAATGACAGTAAGGGATTCTAATTGGGTGAGAATTTCTTTTTTAAAAAGTAGAAATTAATTACAGCTACAAACAAATCGAATGAAGAAATAAATGAAAGAATAAGAAGGTCATGAGGCTTCAGTGAAGATCTAAAAAGAAAATGGACACACAGAACAGGAAAGTGGAAGGCAGGTGACCAGGAAATCACAGTCTCGAACTGTAGAAAAATCTAAAGCTCAGAATATACTCAGTTTGGAAATGGAGTCTGAGAACAGTAAAAATGGTTCTTTCTGATGTATTCAAAATAAAAGGAAGAGAAAAGAATAATTACAACAGCTGCTCAATAGAACTGTCAAAGATATTTTACAAATTCAAAACAGTTAATAGAGATAAAAAAATTCTTCAGCTCATATTTAGACTCTGTGTTCTCCAACAAGAGGATCTTCAGGCAATTGTGAAGAACAGGAATTTGAGAATCTGGTTATTTGAATCAGTTTAAATCTTCATGGTGAGAGGAAATGTCTCCTAAGGTGCTGAGAAAACTTGATCTCGGCAACTTCTGTGTTTAATTAGCTCATTGCATGGACCTATGAGCAAATTCCTTCCCTCTATTCTTGTCTATGTCTTCTATGGTTATGTTCAAGATATTTCTATCAGAGGAGTGGAAGGTGCCCATACAAAGTGTAAACCCTACTATGCTTTGTGAGATAAGTCTCAGGTATTATATGGGTTCCTTCCGTATCTCTGATAAGAAGGCTCTGAAACACCAGTTCACCAATTCCTATGCACACCTGCAACAGATAAACCAGCAATTAGCACAAGAAAGAGATGATCAAACAGGACCAGTGAAATATTGGTTATTGATTAAAAAGCAAAAGAAGATTAATTGGGCTCCAGCTGTTTGAAGTGACATTACCAGGCAAACAAATCCTATAAACAGAAATTGAACAATATATAAATATAAGTGTATTCTAGAAAGGCATGCCAATTTATAGTCAAACACCCTGGGTAGCTAGGAACTAATGTCTATCAAATATCTGATTCCCACAAGGCACATAAAAACCGATTAGAAGCAGAAACTACAATGAAAGGGAGCACAACTAGATCACTTTATAATAACAGCCAGATGTTTTCCCCAATGACAAGCATGTATTTTGATAGGCAGTCAAAGAGAGTCACAGAGGCAGATGTTTCATAGAACAGATTTAATCTGGAAAAGTATTCTAAACCATGTCTCAAATTATCTTGATTCGGTTGAAGAATCTCCTTCTTTTATAAATACTTATTTATAAAATTGATGGAAATGTAACTATTGGCAGAAATGTAACTATTCCACATGTAATGTAATTTATTCCACATGTTTTTCTGCTGATTCAACTATCTGATTGACATAGCAAAATACAACTTGTAACCCAATAAACTACCTAGTATAAAAAATATGTATAAATACCATGTTCCCCCGAAAATAAGACCCTGTCTTATATTTTTTTGAACCCCAAAATAAACGCTTGGCCTTATTTTTGGGGAGGTCTTATTATTTTGGGGCGCATGGAGCAAGATGGGGCTCCTCTTGCCGTCCTACCTGATTTCCAGGTCTGCATGGAGTGCTTATTTTCGGGGAGGCTTATTTTAGCGCATGCACACAAAAGCCTGATTGGGCTTATTATCAGGGGATGGCTTATTTTTGGAAAAACAGGGTATATCAAAAAAACAAATGAAATAATAATAGTCATATTCTAAATCATAAAATCATGGTGCTATTTTATAAAAGATTTATTTATTTGTATCTGACCTTTATTATTCTTATAAATAATTCAAGGCGGTGAACACTTATAACACAGCAACAAAACTTCATCCTATATTCAGGTTTGACTCCTAGAATGCACTCTACATGGAGTTACCCCTGAAAACCACCCAGAAACTTCAACTGAACCGAGGTGGCGCAGTGGTTAGAGTGCAGTACTGCAGCTACTTTAGCTGACTGCTAGTTCAGCAGATCAGCAGATCAAATCTCACCGGCTCAAGGTTGACTCAGCCTTCCATCCTTCCGAGGTGGGTAAAATGAGGACCCAGATTGTAGTGGGCAATATGCTAATGCTAATGCAATATGCTATTATGCAATATGCTATATGCTAACTTTGAAAACCGCTTAGAGAGGGCTGTAAAGCACTATGAAGCGGTATAGAAGTCTAAATAATAATAATAATAATAATAATAACAACAACAACAACAACAACAACAACAACTGATCCAGAATGAGGCAGCTTGACCAGTGATAACATGCCGTGATATGCCTATGTAATACCACAGTTTTGCAAGCTGCACTGGTTGCCAGATTGCTTCTGGATGTGATCTTAAGGAGCTGATTATTAGCTATAAAATTCTACATGGAACAAAGGCTGGTTATTTGAGAGACTGTTTGTCTTCCATAGCATCTGTCCAATCACTTTAATCTTGCAGGATTGGTGTGTTCCTTGCTCTTTCAATGAAATAATGTCCATTATTGGGATCCTGGAAGTGTGCCTTCTCTGTAGCAGTGTCTTCTCCCTATGAATGAAGTTCTCCCAAGATCCAGAAGTCCCCACCACCACCACTCTGCTGTTGTTCAGAAGGGTGATGAAGTGGAGAGCTTCTGAACACCTTAGTGATGTTTCTGTGATCTGAGGTAACATTTCAGAACCTGCAGTTTGGAAGTGAGGTTGGAAAATTCCCCTTAAAATGGGGTCCTAGTCTAAGACTACCCAGGCGATGTAGCTGGTCTGTCATTTTGGTGAATTGTCCCTTGCCATGTGTTGTTCTATGATTATATATTATATATTAATTCTACTTCCATAACTAAAGCCATCGCTAGGAATAAATGTAATATTTATATTATAATAAAATAGTATTTTGTAGTTATGCACAAACAAAAGAATAGGAAAACACAATAAAACATTGAAATTAAAATACATGCATACCAGTTGGCCCTGTTTTTTCCAACTTGATGATGGGGAGGGAGTTTCCACAGCCATTGAGAGAGATAATTTTCTAGTTACCCTGGCTAAACCCCCACACCTCAGGAAACTGAAATTTGCTATAATTGTATCAATTACTGCAAGTCTGCTCACAGTAGCTCACATTCACTGCCAAGATGTCACAATGGGTTTGGATTAGAAGAAAGAGGATTTTTAAATACACAGGAGGGCAAATTGACAGTGAATGAGAAAATAGTAATTATTATGTTTGGGCTATTGCAGAGAGAAAACTTTTGTTAATATAAAAAAAAACCTATTTCTTTTTTTAAAAAAATAAGATAGTATGAAATCATGTTTTACCTATGGGGCAAAAGTATTATTTATAAATAATCGCTAACACCAACTGGGCAACAGAATACTCAACGGCTCCTAAATTATGTATCAATAAGAGCGTGAAATAAGCCTAAGTAGACTAGATAGATAGTTGATAGATAGGAGAGAGAGGGGAGAGAAGGGAGGGAGGAAGAAAGAGAGGTGGGGGAGAGAGAAACAGAGAATAGAATCTGTTTGGTGCAGTAGCATCAGGTTAGAAGCTGGGAGACCCTGAGTTTTAGTCCCACCGTAGATAAAGCCTTAGATCAGGGGTGACAAACTCACATCATCATGGCGTTGTCACGTGATGTATCGGGACTTTTTTCCCGTTCACTAAAACGGGCATGGGCGTGGTCAGCATGTGATGCATCCGGCCCATGGGCCGGAAGTTTGATAGCCCTGCCTTAGAGTCAGCTGGAGGACCTTGGGCCAATCAGCTTTAGGAAGAAGACAATGTCAAACCACTTCTGAAAAATTTTGCCAAGAAAGCTACAATAGCTTGCCCAGGCAATCTCTGAGAATGAGACACAATTGAGGGGAAGGGGGGTGGGGAGGAAAGGCAGGTATAAATAGATTTTGGGTTTCTTTAGATTTCATTTTACTTGCAAGCACTCAAATTGAATTGATTGGATTATTGTTTTGCAAATCAATAGCAGAAGCAAACAGACAGAGATTAAAAGAGAAAGAAAAAATAAAATACTAATACATTTAGGTAAAGGTAATTGTTTGGAAATGCCTTCTAATTCTTGAGTTTTTGTTCATTAATGATTTACAGATGATCAGAACAGCCTTACAGTCTCAATTTTATCCCATCCCTTTCCACCAGCCAGCATCCAACACAGAAGCAAGCAAGGAGAATTAGGATGAGACATTACACCAGTGGCTTTTTCTGTCACTGTAGCAAAAACTGGTTTTTTTCTATGGGTTGCTCTCATAAAAAAGATCTTTGCCAGAGTTGCTTCATCAGCTCACAATATAGAAACACTGTATTAAATAAGTATCAGTCGGTATCAGCATCAATAAGTATCAAATTTATAGGTACAAATTTTTACAATACCAAATTTTCAAGATTTTTTTTTTTTTTGCCTTACAGTATGATGTGCCAGTTTTGTAGCACCAATCTATTTCTATAAGCCTAGTTTTCTTAGGTATCACAAGATGAAAATATTTTAAATTAGACACATTCCTTGCTTCAGGAGACAAGTTTTAGAATGATCTGGTAAAGAAATTCCTGAGCATTTCATTTCGCTAATCGTTGCCCACTATAGGGGACGGTGCTCATCTCCATTTCAAGGCCATTGAGCCAGCACTGTCTGAAGACATTTCCGTGGTAACGTGGCCAGCATGACATCACGGAATGCTGTTAATGATCTGGGGCTATGAACAAATAGTCCAGGACAGGGGTGGGTTCTATTTACCTTTACTATCGCATAGATCAACTATGATGATGTCCAAGTCAGTGGGTGGAGCCTCTCACCGGTTTTATTACCAGTTCTTGCGAACTGGTCCGAATCGGGGGCAGCCCACCACTGGTCCAGGATCTATCTGTCTGTCTATCTATCTATCAATATCTATCTCTCTATCTATCTACCACCTATCTATCTATCTATCTATCTATCTATCTATCTATCATCTATCTATCTATCATCTATCTATTATCTCTCTATTGTCTGTCTGTTTATCATTTTATAATTTATAGCAGCATTTTACAATGGTAGAACTATAGCTAATTTAGGAAAGGTCATTTCCACTATGCTGTTTGCAAAGTTTTGAAGTCCTGAACCTTCAGTGAAAGAGACCTCTCAATATCTGACAGTGCCCCTTCTCAGCACATTCCAGGTAATAATCATGCATTGATCCAAAGGCTTCTTTTTCACCTTAAAATAAAAACAAGTTCATAAAAAGCACACATTAAATGCAAATTTTAAAAGTTGAGGTATCCGCACATTCGCAGATAAAATAAATACCCCAGTCCAGAGCAGAAATATGATGGAAGCATTAAATTCTTGGATGAATAGAACAATCTTCAATCAAGACAATTGAAGACAACTTGGAACTATCACAGTCAGAAACAGATGTCACCCAAATTGCAAGGAATCACATAAACATCATGTTTCTGAATTATATCTGCAGAAATTGCTTCTTAAAGATGTACAAGTACCTGCTTTCAGAGTCTTTATTAGAAAACAAGAAAGACACTGTCCTTAGCTCATGCCATTAGCCCATGTCTTCTCTTTGCCCTTTTCTTCCAACATAACTTTTTCGTTATTGTTTTAGTGTGCACCTTAATTAATATAAAACAAGATTATATTGCAGAATATAAAACAAACAACAGGGGAAAAAAGAAATTGCAGATTGCAGATTGCAATCTGCAATCAATTGCAGATTGAAGAATGAACATATTGTTTATAAAGACAGTTGCCAAAAAAGCACAAAATAAGTGTGAAACATTACACCACCCAATGCTTCTTATCCAACATGGCTCCAAACAGACCTTCCAATGGGAGTGAACCTGGAAGCAGCTTCAGCTTCAGAGGCAAGGAAGTCAAAGAGGAGATTGTCAAAAGCAAGTTTCAAACCAAAAATCAGTAGAAAATGCTTGCATTAGATTGAACTCAATTGCCCCAATTTTGAAAAATAAGGCATCAATTTTGCAGAAAGTCATTCTCTCTTCCTGAATGTGTGCTGCTTCAGGCCTTCAGAAAGCCTCTTTCAACTGACCGCAGGATGTTTTGCCTCTCCAGACTTTCACAAAATGAGGGATTGTATATTGGACATTAATACAATTGAAAGTGTCCAGAGATATTTCCATTCCTCTACCTGCAATAGAATACCTTATGCCACCAGACTTGAAATTTTGAGCTTAGACAATTTAGAACTACGCCACTTGAGTCTGACCTAAGCATAGTACATAAAATTGTCTGCTACAATGTCCTACTTGTCAATGACTACTTCAGCTTCAACCACAACAATACATGAGCAAACAATAGATACAAACTTAAGGTAAACCGCTCCAAACTCGATTGCAAAATATATGACTTCAGCAACAGAGTGGTCAATGCCTGGAATGCACTACCTGACTCTGTAGTTTCTTCCCCAAACCCCCAAAACTTTAACATTAGACTATCTACTGTCGACCTCAACCCATTCCTAAGAGGTCTTTAGGGGGCGTGCATAAGCGCACCAGCGTGTCTACCGTCTCTGTTCCCTTTTATTTGTATCCATCTCATGTATTCATAATTATGTCTATACTTTTATCTGTTATCTAATACATGCTTGATGAAATAAATACATAAGATAAATAAATATTTCCTTCTCTCATGTTTTGCTGCTGTTGTGGAAGAAGGAAGAGTGCAGGAATATTTGGGGCATTAACTTTTGTAATCATTGATGCATGTCCTCAGTCTAACCATGTTAATATGCTAACATTATAGACCTCTAACCATTTTCTCTCTCTTTCTCTCCTGTGCTCAAACAATGCATTCAAGAAGCATTGTGCTTGCATGTGGCTGAAGCAAAAAAAAAGAAAGAAAAAAAAAGAGCTATTGACATGAGAGCAGTTGTGATGTATCAGGTAATCCTTGATTTATGACCTTAACAGAGTGTACCTATTACAATTGTAGGCTCTGATTATCGTAAAGCAGGTCATCATGAAACCAGATCCAATTTTACTACCTTTTTTTTTTTTTTGCAGTGATCATTAAGTAAATGCCATTGTCATAAAGCAAGCCCATTATTTGCTATGGGCCATTGTGCTGAAAGTAAAGGTCAGTCTTCAACAAAAAAAGTCAAATTGCAGTCACATCTGGGACATTGCAGTGGCCATAAATGCAGGCTGGTTGCCAAGTTCCCAACATGTGATTATGTGACTGGGGGGGACTGTGGTCAGAACTTCAAAACTGGGTCATGAGTACCTTTTGAGGGATCCATTGTAACTTTGGTCACTAAATGACTAGTCATAATTCAAGAACTGCCTGTAATTAGATGCAGCAATAAGGATCAGACACAGAGATACCTTTAAAGTACTTCTCAAGCAGTGGAACTTGAAGCTTCTCAGTGTGAGGCACAACTTATCCTCTCAATGTTTATGGTCATGTGCTCACTGATACATCGGGGTCAAAGTAATGTTTCTCTGCATGTTGATTTTTTGATGCATTTATCGATACACTGTGTGCATGCCCCTTGCATTAAAAAACCAAGCTTACTGTTAATTTTAAAACTACTGAATTAAACTATAATTTATTTTATATCACTCTGAATTATTGCAGCTATTGTTGCAGTAGTTTTATGTCTCTAAAAAGCTGAGAGAAAAAAATGGCAGTCCCTTTTTATTGTGATACACCAGTAAGGATTTTTTTTTTTAAAAAAAAAGAACTGACAAAGGGTATAAACAATATTTTCAGGGAAACATATCACTGTTTTTGTTTTGTCTTCTGATCAATGTCTTGGGATCAAGAAAACAGAGATATGTGACTTTTTCTCCACTTAAAAAGTCCGAAGGGACTAAGATAAGAAAATGGCTACAGAATCCCAAGTGTAAAATTTGATTAATTAAAAAAGATGAGAGGATTGTATTATAAATTCCTGGAGGTAGTTAGTTAACCATATGTTTGAGATAAGCACTCATAATTCACTCTGTATCTTCCTTTCTCTGTTCATTACCAACTTCCTTATAAACATCCCTCTATTTCTGATTCATTTAGTTATTTCTTCACTTCACTGTATTTATAAAA